TTTAAGCTATAAGAACAGTTAGCAAGAAGCCTGCCACGGCCATACAGTTTGTATGCAATATAAGTCTCTGTGTTTACTTGGTTGGGTCTAAGTGGCTGTGGGACTGGCGGGTGACAAAGATTTGTCCTGACTGTGGGCAAGACAGAAAAACTCAAGCTACAGAGAATCATGCCTCTCCCTGTCATCCTGTGTCCTGCTCTCATCACCATCTTTACACTCAGACAGCTGGCTGCTGACTTTACACATCACTGCACTCAGGCCACATACTTAGGAAAGATCTTTTCTGGTGTTCTTAAACCATCACCTGGCTTTACAGTCAGGTCAGGTGAGTCTCAATGCTATTTTGGCTGAGGTTGCTTGGCCATTAGTCAATGCTGGGACTAATTCATTCTCTCTTCCCCCGTGCCCCCAGCTTTCATTTTGTTTTGTTTTATTGCTTTATTTTTAGACAGGGTCTCACTATGTAGCCCTGACTGTCCTGGAACTCACTATGTAGACAAGACAGACCTCAAATTCAAAGATTCATCAGCCTCTGTCTTCCTTCTGAGTGCTGGAATTAAAGGCATGCACCACCATCACACAGCTCTGTCTCTATTTTATTCTTTTATTGAACTGAAGAAATAAAAAACTCAAACTGGGCCTTCAACAAGTCAGGGTTAGGACATGAAGTGTTGGCCTTCCCCTGCAGAACTGGAGCTGTTGAGGGTATGCAAGGGCATCCGTTGTCCACCCCAGCAACCCCACACTTCAGCCTTCGGTTATACATCTCTCTCAGTTCCCTGTCCATGGAAACAGATTGGGATAACCTCTTATTCTCATGTTAAAAGAGATTAGAAAGTCTTCTATTACCCACAGAATTTATTTTAAAGTGCCTAAACTGCATTTGTAGGCTGAATTACAAGATATAAATGTTGGGTGATTAACATAGATGAATTTACTATATTTTTACCTTACTTGTTATAGAAATAATTTCTGCTTAGAAGAAATCATTTGGCTTAGGACTAGGAATGTAGCTCATTGTAGAATACTTGGCTAGCATGGAAATCTTGGGGTTCCATCTTCAGCAGCACAGACACACAAAGATGAATCAAGTAGCTAATCTCTCATGATGACTGTTGTTGGTTGTCAACTTGACTATATCGGGAATGAGCTACAACCCAGAAATGGAGGGCACACCTGTGATCCAGATCTTGAAGCAAGAAGACATAGACTTTTGATCTGGATCTTGAGGCAGGATTACACAGGCCTCTAATCCAGATTTTGAGGTAGCAGGACACACCTTCAATCTGGGCCACACCTGCTGCTTAGAAGCCTATATAAGGACATGGAAGAAGGAAGCTTTTGTTCATTCTCCACCTGCTTGCCCTCAACCCTGTCAGCACATCCATGCCTTCACGGACATTGAAGCCTACTTCTTCAGTATTCCAACATATACAGAAGACCAGCTGAGACACTCAGCCTCATGGGACTGAGCAACTACTAGATTTTTGGACTTTCCATTCACAGCTAGCCATTGTTGGACTGCAGCCTGTAAATCCTTCCAATAAATTCACTTATATTTATATACATTGTTGTGTTATATACATATATATAATTTAGGGTTATATTCAGTTCTGTGACTCTAGAGAACCCTGACTATTATATCTCTTGATGTAAAAGTAGCAACATTTACCCCTTAATTACCCATCTATTATCTCATCCCACAAAGCCCTTAAACATTAGAATGTAGTTAAGTATTGGCAGCTTACAGGTAAGCCTTCATCTACTGGTCAATGCACACCTTTCAAACCTAATCTACAAGCAAGCAGAACATAAGAATATTCATTTACTTAAGCCAGAAAGAGTCAAACAGATGAGAGACCAAGTTCACCACAACACTGGGAAATTACCTAAGGCCTGCTTGGAAGGCTGCAGAGAACCATGACTAAAACCCTACACTGCAACTCCCACATTCTCCAAGTGTGACTTCAAGAGAAACCTGACATCAAAGGCTTATTGGAAAGTTAAAGACTATACAGATAGCTGTTGCTTGCATTCTTAGCAGTCATAGGTGAAAGATCAATCTGGAGCAACCAGATATACTCCAGACATTGTTTTATGAATTTCCATAAATCCATTATATGAACCTAATGGAATAAAGTCACCAAACCATTAAAAATGATGCCTGTAAAAACTGAGAAGTATTTGCATAATCCCCTACAAAAGAAAAATACTACTAATTATATGCTTCATTCTATTAGAAACACATAGAAAAATGAAAGCTTTGTAAATCTTGTCTCCAAAAGACTGACTCTCATGAGGTAAACACAAGTCAAATGCCCAGACTTATAGAAAGGGGCCTAGCTTTCATCTGCACAGAATTTCATTTTATAACTAAGTAAAACATAACATGATTACTTGAGTATTATTTTCCTAAATGATGATGCTGATGTCTTATTATCTTAGCAATAAAATTTAGGCTTTATCTGACTGTGTTGGGAGCCATATAGATGCACAACAAAAATGTCAAGAAGTGACAGGCATACACTAAGCAGAACAGCATAGCTAAGCACATGAAGACCTGGTGCAAAGGTCTCCAGTGTCAGAGGGCAATAAGCAACCCAACACCACAGTTCCAGATGGTGATGGTCCCTGACCATTCATGCTGACCTTTCCCACTCATCCCAAGAATGAAAGAAGAGGGGAACATGTCTGATGTTCATGTAGCAAGCGGGGCTCCTCCTACTTTCTTCAGACTCCCCAACAGGTACGAATGAGCCACTTTCCAACCCAGATTGTCAGAAGAGCCATCCACAAATCCAGACACCAGCCATACTCATGCTTCCCTCTCCCAGAACCTCACACTCCTGAACACAGAGCTCATAAGTAAGCATTGGCTCACCTACCATGCATTAAAATCCTAGGTTTCATCCCAGTACCATATAAACTAGGCACACACATTACTCAAGCAGTCTAAACTACAGGAAGACCGGGAAGTTAAGTCACCTTGGCTACCTAGTACTTGAGGGAAATCTGGAATACATGGGATCTGGTCTCAAATTTTTTCCAAAAAAAAATACATAATATATACTTTCTGCCTGAAACTTGTTGAACCATAACCTGTCAGAACACTAGTTCAACACATCATGACTAAATGTGATTTGTTTTCTTTCTAAAAAAAATCCTAGTGTTAGCAAAGAATTCAGTACAAACTAAAAAAAAAAAAAAAAGGTATCTCTTAAATCCTATATGTATATATTGAGTATATGCCCAGTCCATGTTTGAAGGCAGAGACAAGGACTGTTAACCTGTATTTTCTCAAAGAGCTGATCTGAGTTGGAATGATTAAGTAATTTCCCTATGAAGAAAACCAGTCTATTTAGAAACAATTTGTAATATTTTTTCACAGAAACCCAAAATCACACTCTCAGTGTTATAAAAGCCAGAGACTATTTTAGATGTTTATTGTTTAGGTATGTGTAATTGCCTGTGTGATTTCAATGAGATCACTACGTGCAGTCAAACTTGGGGACTACAGTACTCACCAATACTGATTTCGTCATCAGTTTCAGCATCTCCAATACATTCAAACTGGAAGTCTTGCAGAGACTGGGAAAACTTCTGTACAGCCATGGATAGATCTGCAGTGAAAAGAACCACCATGAGGCCAAGTGCCACAGAGAATCCCAGTAAAGACACAGTTCTAAAATGCAAGCTTGGTAAATAGAAGCAAAATTTAATAACTACATGCTTTAGAGTCTGGAACTGCCCTGCTTAGAGGGCTCTGACCCTTCCAGAAAAGAGTGGGGCCAGAAGTAGATGATCTGGAACTCTTTATCACACATCACAAACGGCACATTTATTTGACAACAGAAGGAATGTGGGGGTGGGGAGAAGCTGAGGGTGTGAGAATGGCGGGACTGTGTTCTCCCCAGTGGACTGCTGCCTGAGATGCAGAAGAGGAGAGATGACCTGAGCAGCTGTTTACAAATGGCACTGCACCTGCTCAGAGACCCATGTCAAACGCCTCCACCCAGACTTCAGTCCAAATGAGGATCGGAGTCTCTTGTCAGGAAAGGAGTTTTTCATTATTTCTAGGGTGAAAAATAAAGTACCTTCCATGAAAACCCCCCAAAAAAGATGCAAATCCTTGGGAAGCAGCAGCCTTGAATGCAGCCCATGAGAATGATTTCCAGTCCTGAGCTGGGCTGCCTGGATTGAAAGTCAAGTCCCTTGAGTTGCTTGCTACGTAACCTTGGGCTACTTGCTGAACTCCTTTGGGCCTTGGTTTCCTGCTATTATATGCAAAAAAAAAAAAATGGAGTAACAATGACTCCCTTTCAGAATTAAATGAATTAATATATGCCAAGGATTTATAACTACAGCGACAGGCCCTCAAACTCCACTCAAATGTGTCAAATGAAATTAAAAATAACGAACATCACAGTACATCAGGGAAACTGTGGAGTTCTCATCTCTCAGAACCATGCTGACCTTTACTGCGACTCTTCCATAGATGTTTACAGCAAGAAAATGTATAGTTTTTCTCAAATTAAAATACTTATGTATTCTATGCAATAGTATTCTTGCATGAGTTATAAACCAATGCTAAACCTCTGTATTTGACCCAGTCTATGGGACTCAGATGTTTCCTTCATCAAACTGTTACTGGAGTTCTCCAACTGTGTTCCCTTCCTTGCTGGGTCTCTACAGCCTGAAGTTAGCAAGGATCCTGCTAAGAGACAGAGAATCCCCAACCTCAGCACCTGGCCAGCTGCTTCAGTACACTCCACCCCTCACGCACAGACCTGTCCTCAGCACAAATCCCCCTACCGTGTGCGTCACTTCTTGTCTTGTTTTTTGTTGGAGCCCACCGAGGTTTCCTAGTGGCTTTACCCAGCAGAACTGCATAAGAGGATGACTGGGCCATAGGCCTGGGTACCAGGTGTTTGGAAGGGTCTACACTTGGTTGTATCTAGCAGGAGGAGGTCTTTTTGCCTCACCCTTTGACATTCTTGTAAAAAACCCTTTTGAATAAAGTTCTGGGCTGGTGAGTTTTGGTCCAGGCCCTCCCGAGGCTATCCTGTGTTTCTTTCTTTCCTCTTGTCGTCTAGGTATCTCTTTCTATCTAAATATTTCCCACTTCTCCCTGCTCAAGAGAACTCTGGTCGTAAAAGTGAGGCTGGTCTCCCACAGTTTTTTACCCAACAACTCCTAAACCTGCCCAGAACAGACTATAAATCCTCCATTGTCGCTCTTAGACTTAAACTCTGTCTCCCTTGTCTACTGCAATAGCCTTGACTCCTGCTGTGCTCAGCCCAAATACTGTCTCCCTTATCAGTTAACAGGTGACTTCCTTAGCTGTAAATTGTGGCTGCATAGCTCAGGACTTAAACATTCCTGAAGGCTTACATCCAAGGAGCCATTAGCAAAGACACTGGAGGATGATTGTGGACACATTCCCCAATCATGGCCCCAAGCTTCAGAACTGTGGAGATTCTGTTGAGGTTTTGTTTTAAATATATGAGGGAGAGGTTTTGTTTGGTTTGTTTTTATTTAAAGAATAAATCCAGGACAGGCACCAAAATTACACAGAGAAACCCTGTCTCAAAAAAACAAACAAAAAATCATGCTCTGGAGCAGTGGTTCTCAACCTTTCTAATGCTGAGACCCTTTAATACAGTTCCTCGTGTTGTGATAATCCCCCAACCATACAATTATTTTCATTGCTACTGCATAACTGTAATTTTGTTACTGTTATGGGCTGTAATGTAAATATCTGATATATAGGATATCTGATAGGTGACCCCTGTGAAAGGGACATTCGACCCCTAAAGGCGTCACAACCCACAGATGGGGAGCTGCTGCTCTAGAGGATGTTCCTGGCAAATAGGCATCTCCTCTTATGAAAGCAGAAAACTCTAGGGCCAGCTACAAAGCCCATTCGTGCACACATTGAGATCATGAAGAAAGATGCTCGCTGGTGAATTCTTAATCAAGGAGAAAAACGAGAGCTTATCAAGCTGGACTTCCCGGTTGCCTATGCTGTGTTTACTCTTCCAGAGGTTCCTTTTCCTGGTCTGTACAACAGCCAGTTAGTACTTCAGGGCTGCTGGGAAGATGAAAGGAGGTTTGAACCTTCAGCCTGTTAGACAAGACAGGAAGTGGCATCCATTACTTATCATTCAGTCCAGCTCACACAAGCAGCAAAGTTGATTGGCCTTCAAAAAAGGGTACTGTGAAACAACACACATTACCAAGGTGCCAAGCTACACAGGAAACAGTAAGAGCCACATCGCAAACTATGACAAGAGAGAGAAGGCCTGCTGACGCCTAGGAAATGTTCAGCTGTCTGTGAGTGCCTTGGTAAGACTGGAGGGAAGTATTCGATTGACCTTGCTTTACTGTCCCACACAGACTATCAAGAAGGCTGGCATGTCAAGAGACCAGAGATTCTCCAGTGAATGGCTTTCCTTCTCCCTCGCTCCCACCAGCAAGAAGCCTTCTGAGCCTCTCACAATCTCAGATGAGCTGCTTGGACACAACATCATCGGAACTCCAGGTACAATCTTCCATTTCTCCCTAAACTCCTTCTGAGCTCTCTGGATTCCAGGACTATAAAACCTAACTTGTGAAATCCTTTCAGAGAGCGCTGTGAATTCTTATCCTGCTCATAAATAACACTGCAAACACAGGCAAGCATTGGACATTGGCTCTGCATGAGGGTTGGCCGGGTTCAGATCTTGCTGTTTCCAGTAACGAGTGGTGCACTATGGGTAAGTTCCATGACCTCCCTATTAAGCAGCCAGTTACACATAAACAGGCTTGGGGTCTTCGTGTACGTCCCCACCCCATAATTAGCAGCTTTAAAATAGGAAGCTAAAACTGTAAGACACTGGCTGCTGCTCAGAAGAAGGCTCTCAGTCACAGTTCTGACCGTAAGTGGAGACATAACATACAAAATGGCACAAAGATCCTACGATCACTTTGCCTAGCTGGAGGCTTTTGGGTAAAGAACAAAAAATACCACTGAGCCCTCCTGTAAAAGCTAATCCAAATGGGCCTGCCAATCACCTGGTTAGGACTGTGCTCCCCAAAAAGCTGTCCCAGAATCTTTAAGAGATAATATAAAGCCTACACGTAGATCAGCACAGTGGTCTCTCTGGCCACTGGCCACTCTCGTGCTATTTCCTCCTCACTGGCCCTCTTGGTGACTACCCCCACCCTGTGAGCGTGCCTCATTATTCTGCAATTAACTAAGTTTGTCATCTATGAAATGCTCTGTGTGTGTGCTCTGAATTCATTTGACGGACATCACATGAGCCAGGGAATGAAGGAATCTAGAGTGAAATTTCAACAGCATCTGTAGCTCCATTTCCTCATCTGCTGTGCCACAGTTCACCTCTCAGGTCTATGTACGTAAGTAAGTAGACAATGCATCCAAAAGAAATCTTCTGGCACCTGAAGAGCACTGAGAACACACTGGCTGTTCGCAGGTAAGCATGTCAGAAAAGGAGAAAGGGAGATGTTCAGTTATCAGAGGGGCATGGCAGACCACAGTCCTTGGAGAGTGCTCAAGAAATTGGACTTAGCAGTTTCACATTTCTCATTTGATGTATTAAAAAGCAATTTAGCTGCAACAGGTATTCCTATGTGTTTCTGTGTAGCAGGTGAGTGTCTATCTCAACACTTGATTGACTCAGTTCCCACCCTCACCCCACCACCAATCAATGAGACTTCCCAGTGCTGGGGGAAGCAAAGCAGGCTGGAGTACATGTGAGATTCCAGACCCCAAGCAGGTTATGGGACAATTCTAAGGCTCAAGGGAAAAGTTTAGAATAGGATGTTTTCAACTGCCAGTGTGTTTTGGATCCTTGATCTCTCTTCTATTTAGTCTCGCTTTGCAACTGCCAAGGTTATGGTGAAGGGCCAAACGAAATGTCATCAAGCCAAAGAGCTTATGTTTGCTGGTAGCAATGCACAACACAAAATAGGGAATGTACCCTAAACTGATAATCTTGTTTTTTATCTCCTACTTGGTGTACAACTCTGAATTAGAAAGCGCAATATCCTTCTTCAGTTTGAAAATGACACAACCTGGGGTTGTAGGTGTACTTAAGTGAGAAAGCATAGACTTAACACACTCAAGGCCCTGAGTTCAATCCCAGCACTGGAAATTGAAATATAAAACAAATTCAGCCCAGCATCGATGGTGCACGCTTTTAATCCCAGCACTCAGGATACAGAGGCAGTAGACCTCTGTGAGTTCAAGGCCAGCCTGGTCTACAGAGCAGACAGCCTGGGCTACACAGAGAAACCCTGTCTCAGAGGGGAAAAAAAATCGAAACCACACACAACTCTATAGTTGTCTAGATGAATTCCCTAAATGAAAGTACAGCTTCAAGCCTCCTTTATATAAAGATAACTCACATAATAAAATAACCTCGGTTTAAAACCAAATTAAAGGCTAGAGCTATAGTTCTAGTTGTAGAATGTTTGTGTAGCATCCACAGAACCCTGGTATTCATCCTCAGCAACCCATAATCCCAGCTCTCAGGATGTGGACTTGGGAGGAGCAAAAGTTCATAGACATCTGTGGCTACACAGAGAATTAAAGGCAAGCGTGGGCTCTATGAGATCA